ATCTGTGTTAACCCTGATATATATATATATATATATATATATATATATATGTGTGTACTGTGTACATTTATTATGTATATATAAATACACACACATGCATGTATATATTTAAGAAAAATTTGATGTTTATATATTAAATATATTTATATATAAAAAATGGAATATACATTTATAAATATGAATATAAATGTATGCATGTAAATACATAAATATTTTAAATATATATATACTGTATGTGTGTGTATTTATATATACATATAATACACATACACATACATATATGTAAACAAAAACTTTTATTTTGGATGCGATTAATCATTTGACGGCACTAGTTTTATTTAATTTAGTTATTTTTAGTAGTTCAATGAATTTCACTTGACACAGCAACATTTCCAATTTTAATTTAGTTTTTCATCTAAGACTGCTATTTTCTTTTAGATTTATTAACAAAAATACATCAAATAATATAACTAAAAAGCAGTTTTATTTTTAGATGTATTTTGGAAGGTCTATTTTATTTTGGCTATTTTGTTATTATTTAAAAAAAATATTTAATCATTAATATTATTTTTTTCCTTTTCTTTGTCACTGATTTTGTGCTATGTTTTGTAATGGTGTACTCTACAGTAAAGCAGGATGGCTTCAGATAATTTATAAGTTTAATTGTGTAACACTAATAAATGTAGATGTTATTTTGCTAACAGCCTACACACAGTAAAAATAAATAACTGTATCAACAGAATAAACTGTCATAACGGTCTGTACGAACATTCATGCAGAAGGGCAGAAGGGTGGGCGTCTGGGTGTAGGTCCCGGAGAGGGGATGAGCGCTGTCAGTGCTCTCCAGCACCTGCTCTCCACTGTAGTACAGTATGGGCTGATAACAGTCTCCATCAGCCAGCAGCAAAGTGTGCGTTTGCCCTGCTGCCACGTCCCACACACGGATACCCTCAGAAATCTATCGTCACACAAAAGCACATTCATTTTAATACAGGGAACTGTATGCCTTAAAAGGGAAGGTCTGCAGAAAAAGTGATTGCATATCATCAATAAATTACCATGGCGAGATTAGGAACTGTGCTAGGAGCATTTATACGACCCAGCTGTCCAAATTTGTCACTTCCCCAGGAATAAACCTGTGAGAGAGAAGAAATACACACTTATTGTTATGAGGAAGAGAAACATTTGTTATACTATATAACTATATACTAATAGTTAAACTATTAATAATTATTTTCGCTAATCATAATAAAGATGAAATATAAATACTTAAAAAGCTTAAATGGAAATTAGACATGTTGCTTTGGCATGTAACAGAAATAACTAAGTTTAAGTTGAAGTATTACAATTTTTAAAATTAAACAAAAATATATTGAAGCTATAGTAAATTTAAAAAAAGGAAAAAAATTACAACAAAAATTACTAACAAAATTGCTAACATATAAACTAAAATTGTAATAAAAAGTAAATAGTAAAGTATATAAATAAAACTAAAATTACAGTGGCCTAAACATTCAAAACAGACCTAACGTAAGCTACAAGGTGTTCAATCATATGCAACTGTATTTAACAGCCAAATTCAAGGAGCAGCACTACACTACTACTTACAATAATGAGACAAGAGCCTCTGATAAGAGAAGTTGCTGTTATCAACATTTGTTATACTATATAACTATATACTAATAGTTAAACTATTAATAATTATTTTCGCTAATCGTAATAAAGATGAAATATAAATACTTAAAAAGCTTAAATGGAAATTAGACATGTTGCTTCGGCATGTAACAGAAATAACTAAGTTTAAGTTGAAGTATTACAATTTTTAAAATTAAACAAAAATATATTGAAGCTATAGTAAATTTAAAAAAAGGAAAAAAATTACAACAAAAATTACTAACAAAATTGCTAACATATAAACTAAAATTGTAATAAAAAGTAAATAGTAAAGTATATAAATAAAACTAAAATTACAGTGGCCTAAACATTCAAAACAGACCTAACGTAAGCTACAAGGTGTTCAATCATATGCAACT